TACACGCAGCAACACAATAGTCATAATGATCATATTAAGACATAATGACATTGTCACACTCTTATTTCACGTGACCATGTCATTATAAAAAAATCATCATGAAGTAGTTCATGAGGTAGCTTTGCGCGTTAGCTTCCCAACGCTTCGAACGAGGTCTCATTTGGACTTACGAAACGAAAGTTACAGCCAAAATCGTCGGACAATACAACAAAAGACAAAATAGACATTCTGGCAGTTTGGGGGTCGACTTCCAGCCTCTATGGGTCGACTTCAGTCATTTATGGGTCGACTCCAAGCACATATCGGTCGACTCCAACTGTGTAGTTTTTAGAAATTTCTTCTTCTTATAAGGCATATTAAAGAGCTTTTTTTCTCTTTCCACCAAAATTTATTTTCATGTAGAAAACTCTCACAACTTCTTACTAACCTTTTTATTAGTAACCTAATCCTTTAATTGGAGACTTTCAGCATTACCCTCACTTATCCCCCTATTTACCAAAATGCCCTTATCATCTCTAATTTCATTTTAATAAAAAAAAAATACTACTAACACTCCTTATTTTCTATTATTCTATTTTCTCATTTTAATTAAATAATTCAATTAAAATACCATTATTTAATTATTAAAATAGACTCTAATAATTCAATCTCACCTCTACAAATCTCTATTAACTCTATATTCCCCCACCTCAAGGTCAGACACCTTTGACACCCACATTGATTCAATTATCACACATGATAATTAAATTAAATTATAATAATTCAAATAATTCGATAAATCGAGAATTGGAGTGTTACATTATCCAACAAATCGTATAATCATATTGCTAAATAAAAGCAATAAAATCTAACTAAATCTTCAACGGAAAATTCGTCTCAAAATGCAACAATATGGCATGTTATGAAATCATGTCTGGTGTCTCTTCTGCACCTGTACATCCAAATTCATTTCTCTTCATAACATGTAGATCATTTAATATATAGTAAATCTTAAATGGAAACCATTCTGCAATACCATATATTTGTTGCAGGAGATCAGATGTTGCAGCTAACAATAACATTTGTCTTGTTGATGAAGATCAGACGTCGTACCAAACATGTTAGAACATCGTGTTCCACATGTTACATTAGTGCATCCAAAATAACTCTTTTTTTATACAAGTCTTCTTTGTAGAGTAGTTCTTGGACTAAACCTTTCTTGAAGGCTCATTCATTCAAATCTTCTTTGAGTGAAACAACTCCAAATATTTTCTAGTTGACTCTAGATTATCAACACAATTTTATTCCCAAAATCTAAATTATGGATCAATAGAAGAAGTTAGCACTTCAACACTTCTGAAGGACATCAGAAGAAAATCATGTTCCAAACCTTAGGCCTACTGTTTAACTAGTTTTGCCACACACTTTAGCCAAACAGCTCTTACTTAACTGGTTTTGTCAAGCACTTTAGCCAACCAGCTCTTGACTAACTAGTTATGTCAAACACTTTAGACAATAAATCTTCTTGGAAACAAACTCATATGCTGGAACTACATGTTGTTTAAACTACATCTTGTTCATGTGTCATTTTATCAAATGCAATCAATCCAAAGGGAACAACAGAGACTTAATTACTAAAATGACAAGGTAAATGATAACCAATAAGACAAACAACAAAACTCTAGGATATCAAAATAATTTTAAGTGTCGGGTGAATATAGAAGAAGTACTTTAGTTTCAACTTATAAGAACAAATGGGATATATAAAATAATGAAAATTATAGAGGGATTAAACTTATAAGTCATATCACGAAGTCATGAGAAAAATGATTGAACAAATATTAAGAGAAAAAGACTCAAGTTATTGAGAATTTATTTGTTTTATGCATTCAAGGTCGATCATGGAACCGATCGATCTATTATAATGTGTGAATAATTAGTATTGGATGGACCAACAAGATTTGCTCTTAATTTTCATTATTTTAGAAGGCATGAAATAGAGTGCCTAAAGAGATTTTGTGGAAATTCATAGAGAATAAAAGAGTTAGAATTATCTATGTTCGAGCTATTCAAGATATGTATGAATGTATATCAATTAGTGTGCAGACACGTGTGGAGAAACAAAAGATTTCCCCATTACAATAGGACTGCGATAGCATTAAACTACAAACCCATACCTTTTAACTTTAATTTCAGATGTACTCACGAAATACATCCAAGAGCTAGCATTGGGATGTATGTTGTTTTCAAATGATATAGTCCTAATTGAAGAGTCGAAAGAGGATTTAGATGAGAGGTTGGAGACGAGCCTTAAAATGCATGATTTTGGCCTAAGTATAAGTAAGACAGAGTATATGAAACATAAGTTTACGTAAAGGAGAAACATTTCTAACCTAAAGGTGAAAATTAGAGTCGTATGACCGGAACGCGACACTGACGTGTCTGTCGGATAAATAACTGCAAGTATACAGTTTTTTGTGAAGTCTTAAAAAGGTTGTCGAACCCACAGGAAATTGATAGTCAAACTAATGTTATCTATCATTGTAGTGCACAGCTAAGGCTAGTGATCAACAAATTACGAGCAGGAAGGAAAAATACTAATTTCTAAAGGTTAGGAAAATAAAGATGAAATGAGTCCGGAATATGGATTTCATGTGCCTAAAGGACTTGTAGAAATCGGGTGCTATTTACAACTAAACTCAGCTCCGTAGAAAATATCAACTTAAAGACTCCGTCTTAAACTCTCGCGCTATTGACAAGAACCGCACTTTCTAACCACATGATTTTTCTCTCGCTCATCCGTTTTAATTAAAAAGCATATTTTGAAAGTCAATGAGATTCTAAACAATACCTAAAGCGCTCTCGCTATTTTTAGGATCGATGCCTAGTTTACATTATCAGTTCATTCCTCACACTCTCACATTATCGCCCCGAACTTAGTTTATTCCTCACTCTCGTGTCGAAATAATAAAACATAAAATTCGGAAACTAAAACCAAAACTAACATACAAGCATATATTCGCACCTAAAGTTTTCTACTAAGTCTCGTCGGTGACGAAGGTCCTCATACGCCGAACTCAATTAATTTAACAAAACATAATATTATTTACAACGAACAGATTCATAACAATCATACTTAAAACTAGCATGGTAAACAAATTTAAAGAAATTATAAGTGCAAATAAAAATAAAAAATGAACCAGTAAAACAAATACGAAACTTGAATTAAAATGTCGGCAAACTTCGTTCGTGGTCCAAGAGTACAACAATGAAAAGAAAAATAAAACAACAAGTGCGACAATCCTTATATGTGAGTTATTGTCGCTTTACACTGATTTATGCCTAAAACACTAAACGGAATTTCTGCAGCGCTTTCGCACGTCTTGGATGTCTCAGAATGTGTCCCAGAGGTCATATATAGAGAGAGAAATAAAGGCTCTGCAACTGCACTGGCCGTGTATGAGAGTGGAGGGAAAAAAGGAGTTACATTCGGCGCTGCAATGTCGAACGCTATTAAGGCATGGCGAACGTCATTGCCTTTTTTCATTAAATGACGTGGCAGGCTTGAAGATGGCGAACGCCATATCAGCAACAGAGGCAAAAATGCTTCTTTTTGTTGCGTGTTTACTATTCTCTCTCTCTTTTTCCGGTTTGCTTCTGAACCCGCAACGAATAAAGCTGATATCTGCAAAACAAATAAAACAAAGTAAAGTGCAACAAGACTCGATAAAATACGGACAAATAATACGCGTAATGAGGCTAAAAATATGATACGATTTTTCGTTATCATCATATCATCCCACAAATCATGCGTTTTAAATATTTAGATCCGTAATATAAAATGACGAAAAAATAAAAAGGGTATATAAATCATTAAATTTAATTTAAATGACTAAAATAGAGGAGAGCCTCATAAATTTTATGTGAAACAAAAATATGACTCAAATTAAAAGAATTTTTTTATTGAAAAACAATAATACATAATTTTAAACATAATATTATGACATAATTTGATGTTATAGGGGTCAACCAACTAGCAATAAAGAAACACTTATAAAAAGTATAAAAGAATTTATTAAAAAAATCTCAAAATTAACAATTTAAATAAAAATAATAATTTTAAACATAATATTATGACATAATTTAATCTTTGTAGCCGATTGCATTACTGTGATAATGCATTGTTATTGTTGTTGCTTTTAATATTGCCCACAATCTTGACCTCTGAAGATAAATGCTTACACAAACGAAAGACTAGAAATTTTAGTCAACGACAAACAGCTAGTAATTTGATTTGGACATACTTAAAAATATTGCCTTTTTTCCTTAGTAAATGAATAACATCACAGTCAGTAATATCAGTTCCTCATAATATTTTTGTAACAACTCTTGTAATTACTGAATAATTAAAATAATTTCGTGTGTTAACGTTGGAACCTCAGTTTTAATGCAATTTCTTATATACTAGTATGTATATTGAACAAATCAAACATCAACAGGGCATTTGGTCTAGTGGTATGATTCTCGCTTTGGGTGCGAGAGGTCCGGAGTTCGATTCTCCGAATGCCCCAATCTCGCTTATGTGAATTTTTTCAGTGTGCGCTTTTGCAACCAAGCATTATTAAATATTTTTCTTGTCAACTTTCCACCTATGTCGCCACTCACTATAATTATCACCCCAATTTCCTTCTAGAACACACGACTAATTCATCATACACATCTATAACCTCCCACATTAATTTAATAATCAATGACTATACCTATTCAACTTCCTCTTCCACAAGTAACATGTCCGCTAATTTATTAATCCACAAAACACTTTTCTACGCCAACCTTCATTATTGTCAAAGTCTAAAAAGAATTATTTAATCCTTCATACATAACATTTCAAACCTTTATTTTGACCTTACTATACGCGTCTACTTCAAAAATAGATCCAGTCAAGTCTTGTCTCCCGCACAATCTTCATCAATAAATACATTTCTCAACTCTCCTCTTTCAACCAAAAAAATTCTCTCCAAATGTTAAACCATTTAGTTTGCGGCAGTTTCCAACACCAAGAAGATCTTGAACTACCATGTTCATCTCCCAAATCAAAATCCAAGAGAAAAGACAACCCCTACGCTTCACGAGGCTTAGACAAATTCTCCACCCTTTTATCCGAACTTGATCAACGAAGAAAGAAAGTTTACTCACAAATGAACCCTCGTGATATATCTTTTGTTCGTTTTACATATTCAAACGACAACGATTTCGTTCCGATTGTTGTCAAACTGAAAAACAACAACCAGAAGAAACACAAGAGCGAAGAACAAGTTAAGGTAAGACATGTTACGTCGTTCTCAGAACCGATGGATCAGAAACATGTCGAAGAAACGAAGCAGTTACACCGGTTGGAATCATCTCATCTTCGTGTTGATGTTGATGATAAATTTGAAATGTTGAAGAGGCCTTCTTTCTATGTGCCGGTTGTGATGATGTTGGTTTTGTTGATGTTGACTGTTTTCGGAAGATCTTTTGCAACGGTTTGTACGTGTATTGTGTGGTATATAGTTCCTATATTGAAGGATAGTTCGAAAGAGAAATTGGTGAAGAAAAAGGATTATGTTGCTGAAGGGTTAGTTTCTCCTAGGAGTGGTGAATCTGATAAGAGATCTGGAAAACATAGCCACCAGAAAAGCTGGTGATGTTTATGTAACAGTTATGGGTTTTCTTCTTCTATTTCTATTCATGTAGGAGTTTTTTTTTTGTGTGTGTGTAAATTATGTGTATGTTTTCTTGGTGATGTTCTTTGAGATAGATTGAAAAGTAATTCAATCATCTATTGAGGATGTTTTCTCCAAGTGTAAATTATGGTAGAGATTATAGGACTTACATTTGTACATTGAATGGTTGGTTCCATAAAAGAAAAAAATGTTTGGAGCTTTTTTTTTGGAGTTACATTTTTTTTATGAATATTATTTACTTATTTTAATTTTATATTTATTTAATCTAGATATATCACATATATTTTTCAAGAGCTTTTAACATTATTAGAAGAATATTGTCTAAAGATGTATCAAGAGTTTTGAATCAAGAGTCACTTTGGTGGAAGGATTTGATGGATTATGGTGATTTTTTTTTGGAGGATGTTGGTTTTATTGAGTTGATTTCTTGCAGGCTTGGGATGGAAATAATACGTCATTCTAGTGTTTTAGATGGATTGGAAATACTTTTTCAAAATGTCTTTTTCCTGGTCTATATGATGCTTCTGATAGAAAGCTTGGGGTGGTGAGGGATATGGGGAGTGGGAGGGGTCAGTATGGCGTTGGGACCTAGGATTTAATAATTTGAAGATGAGTAGTGTTTTGGGATTGGACCACGCTAAATTAATGGAGTTATTGTCTGATGTCTGTCCAATTGTTGGGTGCTCTGATACTTTCATTTGGCCATTCAGATCTTATAATTATTTCTCTGTAAAATCTTGTTACGACAAGTTATTACAATCTGCTAGGCTGGTGGAGTTGGAGAGTGCTCTCAAAACTGCAATGTCATTATTGCTGCAGACAAATATCTCATTGAAGGTGAAGATATTTGGGTGGAGATTGATGCTTGATAGACTACCTGCACATTTAAAAATTGCCATCAGAAGTGTTGTTAACAATATACACGACAAGGTGTGTCTTTTGTTTCAACTGTGATGAAGATAACAATCACCTGTTCATCTCCTGCCCCCAGATTATACTGGTTTTGAAGAAAATTGGGAAGCGGGTTGTGATACTGAATGGTCCTTTTAATCTTGAAAGAGAAGAAGAGAGAATAGAGATGATTCTCATTAATTGTATTTTCACATTACAAAGTGTTATTAATATGCATTACACAATAGCTTGCTAAGCAAGTCATCCATACACAAGGTAACTAACTAACAACCAATTTGTAACAAAAATGCTAACTAACTGATACACCTGACAATTATGAATTAAAACTCAACACTCCCCCTTAATTAATAATTGTTGAACACTTATAACACCAAATTTCTTTCTCAAAAACTCAAATCTGTCAAGCTTTAGAGTCTTTGTAAACCCATCTGCCAGCTGCATTTCAGTTGGACAGTATTGCACTTTAATCATTCCATTATTCACTTGCTCTCTAATGAAATGAAACCTTGCATCGATGTGTTTACTTCTGCCATGTGAGATTGGATTTTAGCAAGGCTAATAGTTGACTTGTTATCAATTATGAGTACTAGAGGCTTTATCACTTCACACCTCAGTTCCTTCATCACTTGAATCTAACCATATTGCTTGACAAGTTACAAATGTTCCTGAAATATATTTTGCCGCACAAGATGAAAGTGCAAACAATGGTTGCTTCTTTGTACATTGTGATTTAACTGCTTCATTGAACTTGAAAACATAGCCAAAGGTACTTCTTCTATTTGTGATGTCTCCACACTAATCAATATCTGAGTATCCAATGAGTTCACTTCTTTCACCTTTGCTTCCATTTGGGAATAGCAGACCAAACTCCTTTGTGCCTTTTATATACCTAAGTATCCTTTTAGCAGCTATCAAGTGAATCTTCCTTTGATCGTGCATGAACTTGATAATCACACTGAATGGGTAGCAAATGTCAGGCCTGCTGTTGCACAAGTATCTCATTGAACCAACCATTTGTCTGAACAATGTTGGATCAACTCTTTCTTCCTCACTGCACTTATCCAAATTTGAGTTTGTCTCTGATGGATTTAAAATTGAATTGCAACTATTCATTTCAAATTTCTCAAGCAGTTCACCTATATACTTCTGTTGGTGCATAAATGTTCCATTATTCACCTTCGGAAACTCCATTCTTAAGAAGAATGAGAGTTCCCTTAGATCAGTCATTTCAAATTCAGATTTCAACTTGTTTTTTACCTTTTCAATCTCTGATGTCTTGCTTCCTGTAATGAGCAAATCATCCATATATAGGCAGATTATCATGGTTTTCTCTTCACTTGAACTTTGCACATACGCACCAAACTCTGTTGAACACCTTTTGAAACTTATCTGAATTAAAAACTGATCAATCTACTTGTTCCAGACTCTAGGGGCCTACTTCAAACCATACAAAGCCTTATGGAGTCTATACACCACGTTCTCCTTGCCTTGCACTTCAAAACTAGGAGGTTGTGACACAAACATTACCTCTTCAAGTGGACCATTTAGAAAGGCTGATTTCACATCTAAATGATAAAGTGACCACCTTCTCTTGCAAGCTAGAGCCATAACTAACCTTAGAGTTTCAAGCCTTACAACTGGAGCAAACACCTCATTGTAATAAACACCATGTTTTTGTAAGAAACCTCTAGCCACCAACCTTGCCTTATACTTTGAAATTTTCCCATCAGGATTCAATTTCAGTTTGAACATCCACTTCACATCTATTTTCTTTTTCTTATCTGGAACATTAACTAGCTCTAAGTTTGATTCTTCTCAATTGAATGGAACTCTTCCATCATATCTTTCCTCCATACATCTATCTTCAGTGCTTCTTTATAATTGAAAGGTTCAAAATATGCCAACAATCCTAAGTGAATGATATCACCTTCATCATTTACTGCATTATCAGGAATTACTTCATAGTCATTCAACCTTCTTGGAGCTTGTCTGATTCTTTGAGGTCTCACATCTGCTTCCTCTTCTTCTGGTTCATCTGCATCATTAATTCGCTTCTTCATTATCTGATCCATCACTTAAATCAGGATAAATGCAACTTTGTTGATTCTCTTTACTGTATACTAGCTCCTCTTCCCATTTCCACTTCTCAGCCTCATTCACAATCACATCTCTACTGACATGTACCTTTTAAATTAGAGGATTATATATCTTATAGGCACATGTTGTTTGATAGCATATAAGTATCATAATCTCACTCTTATCTTTAAGCTTGCTTCTTCTAACATCTGGTACACGTTTGTAGCACAAAGAGCCAAAAACCTTGAAATGTTTCACACTAGGCTTTCTTCCACACCAGGATTCCTCTGATACCTTTAAATGCAGCTTCTTTGTGGGACATTTATTCAGAATGTAAGCAGTTGTAGTGATTACTTCACCCCAAAACTTGTGTGGTGTGTTTTTCTGCTTGATCATGCTTCTTACCATATTCAGTAGAGTTCTATTCTTTCTCTATGCAAGTCCATTATAATGAGGTGTATAGGGAGCTGTTACCTCATGCATAATACCTTGATTGACACAAAAGGCTTCAGAGTCTTTTGAGGTGTATTCTCCTCCGCCATCAGTTCTCAAGATCTTAATAGATTTATCACTCTCCTTTTCTATTAAGATATTGAATTTTTTTAATACATCTAAGGCCTCACTCTTAAGCTTGATTATATACAACCATATCATTCTTGTATATAGATCTTCAACACTTCACTCACTACTGCAGACAGACACATAATCTTTTCACTTAAGATATTGCATTTGTATGTCTTATTCTTTGACATGTTTGATTTAAGCACCAAATTCTTCTTTGCATTAAACACCTTCAAAGACTCACCAACCATAGTCACTAAGAATCCCTTCTCCACCAATTGACTAATGCTCATGAGATTTCACTTCATCTCAGGAACATATAGCACATCTTCAATAATGATTCTTTTGCCATCATTGCTTCTGATCACTATATTTCCACTACCTTCAGCTGTAAGTTCTCTACTATCAGCCAATTTGATGCTTGTTTTCTTGATAGCATCAAAACTTGTCAACCACTCTCTATGTGATGTCATGTGATTTGAGCATCCAGAATCAAGAAACCACTATTCATTCGTAATCATTTCCTCACTAGTAGTAGCCATCATCAACATTGTACTGTAATCATCTCCGCGAGCCAAATTTGCTTCTTCATCGGTCTTTTGACCTTTCATGAACCAGCGTTCATCAGCAAAGTGCCCATACTTCTCACAGTTGAAGCATTGCACCTTACTTTAGTCAAAATCCCTTTTCTTGTTCAGACTTCTGCTAAAGCCTCCTCCTTTTGAAGATTCAGTTTTGTCTTCACTCTTGTTCTTTTCATTGTTGGGCCAATTTGCTTTGCTTTTTCCCTTCTTGAAATTCTTCTGATTTCCTTCCTTTTTGGAAGTTTGAACTTGAAATACTTGTTGAACTGATCTCTCAGAACTTCTATCAAGCACTAGGAGCTCATGTGCTTCCAATGTATTTTGCAACTCTTAATTTTCATAGTTTTCACATTCTTTGCTTCTTGGATAACTACAGCTATGAAATAAAAGTTTGGACTCAAAGCTCTCAGCACCTTTTCTACTACCATTTGATCTGTAATGCTCTCACCACAAGTTTACATCTGATTAACAGTGGTTATTAATTTTGAAAAGTAATCACTTACTTTTTGATCTTCTTCCATCTGCATCATCTCATACTTTCTTCTATGGGATTGTAGCTTCACTTGCTTCACCTTTTCTCCACCAGTGTGATAGTTTTCTAAAATGTCTCATGCTTCTTTGGATCTTGTCGCTTTAGAAATCATCTCAAAGTGTTGACTGTCAATATTTTGCTTAATGTAGAACAAAGGTTCACAGTCTTTCATTTTGGTTTTGTTGAATGCAGTTCTTTGTGCATCAGTTGGATTCGCCACCAGATTCTCATAGCCATTTTGCACAATTTCACTCATGTCTTGTGCTCCAAATAAAGACTTCAACAAAGCACTCCAA